CTCTTGTGGGTTTGCTAGGACTACAATTAAAAATCGTAAAAAGGTCAAAACATACCTAACCAGCATATGCTGTTTTTTTCAACAGGAAGACATTGGTATGATGTAAGCAACACAGCTGCTACAACAACAACAACAACAACAACAACAACAACAACAACAACAACAAACTTGATAATGGGTGTGTTAGACTTATAGTGTGCCAATAATCAAGCATAAGCAATAATCAGTCGAATTGGGGGCACCGAGGGGCCCCCATGTAAAATTCTGCGTAGGGCCCCATAAAGGCTTCGGCTGGCCCTGCTCAAAGGATATCTCCGCTTCAGTAGATGCGGCTGACAGCTGCTCTGGGGAGATCTCCACTCGGTCTTTCCTCTTGTCTGATCGACGCAGAATTATGACAGAATGAATGTGCACAATGCGGTTTGTGTCCACCTGACGGAGAAACGCCATTTACACCGTTTCATAAACACACCTGTTATCGTTCAAGCACATTTATACTAAACAACACTTCGTAAACACAAGACATCCAAACCTCGCCAATGCAGAGCCCCATTACTTCCTCTTTCTCCGTGCTCAGAGCGTGGTTCATGCATACTAGAAATGCGTCTGACTCTAAATGTACAGCGCTCACTGCCATTATATGAAGTACAATCTAAGAGTTAATGTTTTTTCCCCCTCTGATTTGTTTGTTTGTTTATCACTGTACAGCACTTCCACATCAGCAAAGCGCATGCGCTACATTCAATTCCTTCCGACAGGAAACGGGAGGGGGGAAATCACATGGCAATCAGTTTATCTACGGTGAGCGGGAAGGGACATTTTAGGGTTAAAAATGACACAATCACTCACATAAATCAAAGTCTTGATATCAAAATGACATTTTAGACTGGTAAAAAAAATATATCGCCAGTAAAATATCACAATAATCTGCCATTCAAATGCAATTACAGATAGGTCTTTCAGATAATTAATTTATTAATATTTAAAATTCCATTCTGACATATTAAGAAAATCAAGTCAGCTTTATTTGCATAGCACTTTTTACATTACAGACAGAGCTGGGTAGATTACTTACATACAAATTGTAGTCCGTTATACTACATGATGAAAACTGTTGTTAGTAATCTAATGGTAACTCATTTGAGGTAGGCTAATGGAATCTGACTACTTTTTAGATGACTTTTTATGTAACTTATTTTAAACTTACCATTAAACATGCCATATCAATATAAAAAGCAAAGAGAGAGAAAAAACATTCCAGTTTTTGATATCAACATCACAAATTGCATTGAACATTACATTACACCAAGGTTTCCTAACTGGGCTTAATGTAAGAACTGCTGTGGGTTTGTGAGATGATAAAAAAAACGAATAATTAATTATATCATAAAATGTCAAATAAATGTAAACACTTGAACATTTGAACTTCACATGTGACCATAAGTGACATCGAACTGTAAACGTGTGAATGTGTGGTTAAATGATTGAACTGTTAACTTCCTCAGAGATATTTCAAGTGAATATTTCATGTCAAATGGGGTGACTGATTAGGCCTGTCACGATAACAACTTTTTGTTGTGTGATATATTTCCCCAGAAATAATTGCGATAAGCAATATTATTGTCATTTTAAAGACCATTTTATGCCACTGAATATGTAATCATAATGTAACAGCATTTTTTAAGAATATTTAGATCATGGAAATTAAGTATCAAAATGTTAGATACCTTAAAAAACAGAATAAACATTTTCTAAAAAAAAATGCACAAAGAACTTGTATAGAGATTTTTCCATCTACAGATTTTTCCGGGACCTTCTTTTCTCTGTAAAGTAAGGGTGCACACTATTGCTGAAAAACACAATCACTACGTAGCAGTCAGATGTCCGTATGCACAAAGACACAGATCCCTAAACAAGGCCATATCTGCAGATGAAACTTTGTAGAAGCATTTTTTACATTTGAACTAGCATGACTACATCATGCTATGTATAGGGTGCACACTATTGCTGAAAAACACAATCACTACGTAGCAGTCAGATGGCCGTATGCACAAAGACACAGATCCCTAAACAAGGCCATATCTTCAGATGAAACTTTGTAGAAGCATTTTTTAAATTTGAACTAGCATGACTACATCATGTTATGTACGAGAAGCTGCAAAAGACACAGGCGCAAATGGAATGTAAAAAACACGGTGACATTAATTTTTAAGTTAATATAATGGCCGATATATTGCGTCATCAAAAATGATTGAGGTCATGTACATATATTGTCGATATATTGATTATTGCGACAGGCCTATGACTGACAGAAATGTTTGGGAAACCCTGCATTATATGAACAAACTTTAATAAACCTGAAAACAGCACAGTCTTCCTGGTTTGAAATATTTTTGTCCAGACTTACATATAATCAACAGTTACTGAATGTCACTGGATCAAATTTGACTCACTGTCCTCACACTAGTAAACACTAATGGAATAACCATTTTGAGATTTTAAATTAGGAATTTATTACAGTTAGTGAAATACTTTAAAATGATACACGTAATGTATGCAACAAACCAGTTCCTAAAAATGTATACTCATCCTGAATCTTGTCTAGGCATACATTTTCTTCTTCTTTTTTTCAATATCATCCGGTATAGGCTACATGTATTCCCTAATTTGCTTACTTTTTGTATTTTCCCCTTTATTTGTGTATTCTTACGGTTTATTATTAGTATGACCGATAACATTTATGTTTATTTGACATGCTATGCTTTAGTTCATGATGCAGTAGCGCATCTCTAACACTATATGGCGACACGTACCACTATTGCAGTGGTTCCCAACACTGGTCCTGGAGGCACCCCAACACTGCACATTTTGCATGTCTCCTTAATCAAACACACCAGTTTCAGGTCTTGGAGTCTCTACTAATGAGCTGATGACCTGAATCAGGTGTGTTTGATTAAGGAGACATGCACAACATGCAGTGTTTTTTTGAGGGGTGCCTCAAGGACCAGTGTTGGGAACCACTGCACTATTGTACTGAATGTGAAACGTCCTGCAGTTGTATGTTCAATATTCATATGTAGCATTCGCTGATAATAAAGCATGCAAGCTTAAAAAGCCACAAAAATGACTGTGTCGTTCCCTCGACATTTAAATCGAGACCACGACTTGACATCACGTGACCAGAAATGGTCTCCCTCCTGAATCCAAAGCGGTCCGAGGCTTCTCTTGTAAAACAGCATTTTTTTTCGCAGTCAAGTCTAAAAAACAGATCACTACAGAACTAAAACGAATGTTTAATTGCAAGCATGAGTTGGAAGATTAAAAGATGGAGTGTTTTCTAACCGGACGAAGTTTAGAGTTGCACAGTCTGTGAGTGAGACGTCGCTGTTCATGTGTTTACAAAAAATTGACAAGATTTCACAGGAATTATTCCTCCAAACTGCAGCTTGGTCGTACGACTCTTAAAATAAGATGCCACGGAAAGATCCTTGTCAAAAACAGGCTTGTGACATCCAGAAATGTTTACAAGGTAGCTTAATGCTCTCAATGTTAGGCTAACCTTGCTCTCCATTAAGATTGCAGGCTGTTTATTTTGAAGCAGTTTAATGACTTTTCTATTTTTTAACAGCCAACAAATACATCGAAAGGCTTTGTGAGGATGTGATTCAAGCCATGAGGAAGTGTTGTGAAGTCCACGCAGGAGAAAACTCTGTCTGCTGCTCTGGATTTACCAAGGAACACAAATCTACAGACACTAAGACAATCCTTTAATAGAAAGCTATACAGTATGCATGTCTATGCACTGCAAGAGATCAGAGGAGGACATGTGGAATACATATTCATCGTCTCTTGTAACTTTCATTAAATCAAACTGTCACTATTTATTCAACAGTTTATAGTGAGAATATTATGCATTCAACATCTAGTGTCCATCATAGTGACCTGCTTTTTTTTGTATGTTCAAAACACAAAGGCCTTGTAGGGACAGCCTTATGAAATGCAGATTACAAAATGAGAAAAGAAACTGGAATATTCTATCATGATGTGCTGAGCATTCGCTGTAATTTAGGGAAATAGATTAGATGTAATCAAAACAAAGATGGGACAAAAAGGCAAACCAGAATTGTTTAAAACCGGATTGTCTATTTACTTTGAACATTTCTGTCATTATAACTTTTATTGACCCCTTGGTCTTTGAAGTAATGTCCAGATTTATTACAGAAATAGCTTTGAGCATTGAGTTTTAAATGCACTCAGCTTAGTCAGCATGACGTACAACTGCAAGGTCAGATATGGGTTTTTAAAGGGCCGATTTCAAATGTTTCGACTATTTACATGTTTAAATAAGCTCACTTTTTAAGTCTTGTGTCAAAAATAGTTTGTGCCAAAATAATATAGCAAAATGTTCAAGTACAAACTAAAAACAATGCACAATCCAAAAACTGAAACCATACATTCTAGCATCGATATATGTTTTCTATCTATATGAACACATCCTAAGAATCAAATCTTGATCTAACTAGTGCCGAGTTAAATATAAGCTGCAATATCACACAAAAGCTGTAATCTGATGTTAGATGACATCCTCGGAGTATAAGACGTTACAATGAGAGATCCTATGAAGCCAGACCAAGCAGAAATCCACCAGCAAAGCCTCCTGTGAGAACAATGTTTTTCTTGACAAATACTTGCACCTGCGTAGAGAGAGAGAACATTTAAATGAATTCAACACAACGGCACGGCCTCTGTTTAAAATCAATGACAATAGGCAACGGCACACTTTTCATTCCAGTGATTTCCATTCATACACATGAGAATCCAGGAGACAGGAAACGCAAGCTTTCACTTTGCCCCCAAATTTTTATTTGGTGAACTTAAACAGGACAGAAAAGAAAAATGACCTCTCATCAGCCTCACTTCTCTCTGATGTGTGTGTGTGTGTGTTGCAAGCTGAGAGTGTGACTGGCAGTCGAGGAGAAAAAGATGCACTTACTATATTCTCCATTCGGTTGCTTTTTTTTTCTCAATACTATAAATAAGCAAATGTACACAGTATGATAACTATCTACTGGCCATGATATGCCATAAGTGTGGTATACCCTATCTGAGATACAGTGAGAGTGTGTTTTGAGCACATGAGGAAACAGAGTATTACAATTACATAAATGCATATGGGTCAAAGACGAAAAAGGGTTTAAGCATAAAAACAATAAGTGTAATACTGCTTTAAATTGTTGTTGTTGTTCCCCCGAGTTTTTTTTTTAAGTTTCACTTTTAATTGCAATTTTGTTTTTGTTTTTCTGAGCAAAAAAATAAATATCATGCATTTTCCCCTGATTTACAGAAGAGACCCATTAAATGTCATTCAGTGTAACAATCTTGTC